GTATGCCGAATTCACCATCTCGATGCCGCGCGGTAGTTCAGCCCGGGAAAGCCAAGATGACTCGACGTTCTTGGGGTTTAGCTCGACGCCTTGGCAGCGCCTGACATCAAATTGAGACAAGCGGTAATTATTTCGAAGACATTGTCTGCTGACTGAAGCTATTGGAGGAGATGGAGAAGGATAGTGGGATGCCGAGGAACGCGGCCCCTTCTAGATCAGCCCAGGCCTCCTACATCAAGATCGGGACCCATCCCTTAGCGTGCCTCCACCAGTTCGTCCGTCCGCCTCGAGTCTTACGGAGGGGTTTTGTTGTCTCGTCATTCCTCTGCAGACGGAAAAGAGACAATCCCTTGCAGTTGATGCTCGGCAATGACATCTTGTTGGCTCACAAAGATGAGGAGCGTTGTGCAACTCGAATTAGCCGGAGCTTCGGATGGAACTCCTAGTTCGCGGAAAGAGCCATGCCCAGCAAGCCACCCTACGCTTACCCACCGCCTCTGGTAGAGTGATGCTCGTTTTCAGACATTTTGAGAACTTCTCAGCATCGAATCTCCAAAACGTTGATATTGTGGGTATCGTGGGCTTGAAGACAGCATCTCAATTTACTATAAGAGGTGTCAACGTCTCCCTTCTTATCATAACTTCTTCTCTCCTCATCAGCCTACAAAGCATCTCAACACTCAACACTCAGACACAACCATCTGAACAGTTCTCCTCACCAATACCATCTTCATAACACATCAACCTCACACCAACCTCCAACATGCAGTCCAAGATCTTCACCGCCGCGCTCGCCGCCTTCTCCTTCGCTTCAGTTCAGGGAGCCGTTCTTCCTCGTGCTACCATCACTCCTGGAACCATTGTTACTCCTGGCATCTCTTTCAACCCTGCCGAGCTTGGAGCCAACGAGTTGGCCTTCCGCACTCTTCAGGTCCTTACTGGCCAGATTGCCCAGACCACCGCTCTCGCCAACAGCCTTGCCCTTCAGGCTACCGGCACTGCGACAGCTGTAAGGCTATCACTATTCAAAGTTGATAGAACATACATGAAACTAATCCCGACATCTAGGCCGCTGATCAGGTCCAAGCCGTTGTTGCTCAGCTGAGCTCCAACGCCGCTGCCATCGCTGCCAACGTCGCCAGCATTGTCGCCGCTGCTCCCACCGCGATCCCTCCTGTTCCCAGCCCTACTGCCCCTGCTACTCCCGATGTTGGTGGTCAGGCTGAAGCTGTAAGATCAAACATCCACTTCTACATTGTTCATCACTAACACGTCTATCATAGCTCGTCCGCCAAGCTCAGGCACTCGCCAGAGCCCTGACTGCTCAGATCGCCGCTCTCCAGGCTCAAGTCACCGCCAACGCTGGAACTGTCGCCGGAGTTGCCCAGAACGCGATCCTCATTCCTGCTTTGGTTCAGGCCCAGGCTGCCGCCGCCACTACACTCGCCACCATCGGAACCGCCAGCAACCTTGCTCTCACTACTGCTGCTACCCTGACTGCCAACGCCCAGGCTATTGTCGACCGCGTCCGCAACGCCCAGGTCAAGCTCAACCCCGTCCTCGTCATCGGCGCTACTCCCGATGTCCAGTTCTAAAGGGCCCAATGACTCTCTACAATACTCCATTGGCCGGTCTTTTGATGATAACTCATCTTAATCGGTCAACAGCTTGAGCAAGACTCGCAGAACTTTCAACAATCGCAGCCGAGTATGGAACTTGGAGAATGATAATATGACAAGGAGGAATTGAACTTACCATTATTATGGGATAATAACGAACGCAAAGTCTTGAAACAAGACCTACTACGCTCCTTGATGGATGGCTTCTGAATAATTAGTAATATTTTATCCAGCGATAGGACTATCTTTAATATGCAATAATCAAGATGGTTCTCAAAATCCTCCTTATTTACAATGCTATAGTGATAACTGGGTTGTCTTGGTCAAGACTTAAATTATTCCTTTAACTCTGACTTTTTTTGTGGACCAATCTTGAGTTGAGTTTATCAGTCCTTATAGCAAGAAAGATGCAGTCAGCCACTGACGTCGCTAAAGTACTAGGTATGCCATGCGTTTTGCACCTCCGGCAAGACCTATTCATTCACACCAAAAGAATCACCTTAGCAAATCTGGCAGTTGTCAAGACGTCTCCTTATTTTATGGAACGGTGTCGTGAATAAGGTGATATGCTTGAAAGCGTAAAGATGGCGTGTTTCGTGTAAACAAATTGCTTGCCGGCGTAAGGCCCGAAATGGTCGCAAGTGGACCCCCCGAAGCACCGGAAATTCAGGGGCGGAGCGGGGCAAGCTCCGTTTTAACCGCTTTTGTCCGGATGGCACAATGAGCTGGTTCGTTTGGCCTGTTTCTGTCCTGCTCAAGAGTGGAAAGCTTTCTGTCGCCTTCAGGTGAAGACCACTAGGCCACAGGACGGCCCATGTTCAACTCTTTTGCACCCGCGCGCCAGCATCATCCCTGATACGACCGGTGGGATCCCCAGAACACATCGGGAGATCCTCTCCTGGCCCTACAGTTCTGAACCCCTTTCATCTTTTGGCTGAAGGAAGCGACATCTTTCAGCCAATACGCTGATTCTCCGTTGCAGGGGATGGAGCCTCCCGGATCGTCGGCTACTATGGTTCAAGCCTCCAGCATTAGGTAGATTGGGGCGGGATGGAAGCGACTAAGGGCGTAAGGAAAGGGTCAAGAGGACGAACATTGAAAAACGACTCGATTCCCGCTATGATGCACAGTGGCCTATCTTTGGTCTCTCTTTCGTCGTCTTTTGCCATCCACTTCCATTCTTTTCTTGTTACCTTGACGTAACAGTTTACGTTCTTTCTACCAGTCTCTCTCTATAAGTCTCTCTTTTCCAATATCCTTGCCAACATGCGTTTCTCAACCATCACAGCAGCCGGCCTGCTCGCCTCCGGTGTCAGCGCCAACCTGCACGAGCTCGCCGTTGCGGCCGGCAAGAAGTACTTTGGCACGGCCACGGATAACTCTGAGCTCACCGACACGGCCTACGTCGAGATCCTGAAGGATGCAAAGATGTTCGGCCAGATCACTCCTGGTAACGGCCAGAAGTGGCAGTTCACCGAGAAGAGCCAGGGAGTCTTCAGCTACACCTCTGGCGACGAGATCGCCGACTTCGCCAAGACCAACAGCAAGCTTCTCCGCTGCCACACCCTCGTCTGGCACTCTCAACTCCCTACCTGGGTGTCTTCCGGCACCTGGACCAAGGAGCAGCTGACCTCTATCATCGACACTCACATCTCCAACGTCGCTGGCCACTACAAGGGCCAGTGCTATGCATGGGACGTTGTTAACGAAGCCCTTAACGAGGACGGTACCTACCGCGACAGTGTCTTTTACAAGGTTCTCGGAACAGACTTCATTCCCATCGCCTTCAAGGCCGCCGCTGCTGCCGATGCGGATGCCAAGCTTTACTATAACGACTACAACATCGAGCTGGCCGGTAACAAGCAGAAGGAGGTCCTCAACATCATCAAGAACATTAAGGACTCTGGTGCCCGCATTGACGGTCTCGGCCTCCAGGCCCATCTCATTGTCGGTAGCGCCGGTTCCCGCTCTGCCCTGAGCGCCGTCCTCCAGTCCTACGTCGACGCTGGTGTTACCGAGGTCGCCTATACCGAGCTTGACATCCGCCACAAGGCCATCCCCGCCGACACTGCTGCCCAGGAACAGCAAGCCACTGACTATGTCAGCGTTGTCGGCGCCTGTTTGGACATCGCCGAGTGTGTTGGCGTCACCATCTGGGACTACACCGACAAGTACTCTTGGATTCCCTCAGTCTTCCCCGGCACCGGCGAGGCCCTCCCCTGGGACAAGGACCTTAAGCCTAAGCCCGCCTACACCAGCATCTCCAGCCTTCTCGCCGCCGCCGGCAAAGGCGGTGCTGCTCCTGCCACCTCTGCTCCCGCAGTTGCCACCAGCGCCGCTGCTGCCGTCACCACTTCCGCTGCCGCCGCTGCCCCTACCTCAGAGTCTGCTGCCGCCGAGCCCTCCGTCCCTGCTGCTGAGCCTTCCGTCCCCGAGAGCTCTGCCCCTGCTGCGCCTGTCACCACCCCCAAGGCTAGCATTCCTGCTGCGACTCCCGCGCCCGCCACTACACTTAGCACTGTCGTGAAGAGCAAGTGCGGTGGTGGTGCTACTGCTGAGGCAGCTTCCAGCGCTCCTGCGGCTGCTGCCACTGGCGGTGCCGCTCGCTGGGCTCAGTGCGGCGGCAACGGGTTCACCGGCTCTACTACCTGCCAGTCGGGCCTCACCTGCCAGAAGCAGAATGACTACTACAGTCAGTGCGTCTAGACGAGGGTCTTCATGCAGCTATGAAGGAAGAAGGATGAGATATGAAGGGTATCCCACATGATAGCATCCCATTGAGACGGTAGAGGATTCGTGTACATATCTTTGAAGCCATCAGGTACATATAATTTGCATGCCTTCGTCCAAAGATTACTGCTCCGTGATGTGCGATCTTGTCTTATCGGGGAGGCTATAGTCCACGCCCAGAGTAGGCAGGCTCTCGCTCTAGTGTACTTTATTCAAGGTAAGCGGGGACTGAAAAAGAGAAGACTCCATACGGACCAAGTTGGACATGTTCTGTGTTACGGAGATCGTTGGCCAAGAAAAGGACACAGAAGTCCTTATCGGATGACTCACTCCAAGAGTCTGATAGCTTGTGTAGAACTCCCGCCGAATGCGTCATCTTCAAAAAGAGGACTGAAATAAATAATATATCAAGTGAAGTCCATGTCAAAAAGTCCATGCACAAAATTATCTTTCACCTTCCTCGGTCACTTTGAAGCATTCTTGATTCTTTCGTCCACTCCGCCCGGCACCCCCTGTTGCTTGATTGCTACGTACGTAGCATACTTCAAATCTTAGCACAAGCGGCACGGCCACTTTCGCTACCAGACATTTAGAAACTTCGACCATCTATTGGAACACATAACATGTCAGATTCCCTGACAAATTCTAGCTATGGCCTCAAATATCCACCTCCCAGAACCCAAGGTCGAAGCGGCGCAACCTGAAGCAGCAATGTGTCACGTCGACGCGGCAAAACTCAAGGAAGAACAAACTCACTCGACAGGCCCGCCAGTCCGGACTTTTCCTTTCGGACAGCTCTCTTATGACCTTCAATACGAAGTGCTCCGCTTCTGCGACTACCCTACTGCAACTCTTCTAACATCCACAAACCGACATTTCTACGAGGCACTTCATCCAAAGATAGAATATGCGATTCCCGCATCCGAACGACTGGAAGTAATTCAAAGAGTTGACCGAGATCATCGAAACGAGTTTTGGGCTTGTTATAAATGCCTGAAAGTCTTTCCGAGGTCCAAATTCGGGGATAGCCTCACGGCTGCGAAGAAAAGCAGACAGCAGCGGGCACACACGCAAACGTTCCGGAAATCGCGCCGCTGTTGGACCTGCGCCATCGAGAACAACTACTATGCCGACCTAGAGCCTGTCAAAAAGGATAGAGTCTCGTATTTCCCTTGTCATGGCTGTGGATTTCTTGGTACAGAGTTCAATAGGTGTCGGGGCAATCGCGCATCAGGCATTATCGTCAACAGACAGTGCCACAAAGACAAGGAATTCTCGCCTTTGGAACTTCTTTCTGGGGAGATTCTCCGACTAATTATCGGCCAATTGGATTATCTCGACGCCATCCACCTACGCATCGCCAGCTGCTCGATGATGCATCAAGTCAAGCTTGACTGGGTAGCCATTCACAGACGCTTTACCTTTGTCTTCGCGAGAGAAGCGCCTCTGGTTGAGCTGGTATACAGAGAAATATTCGAAAGTGTAGATGAAAGTCTCGGCCCGGAGTCGAGAGAGATGCTAGGGAAGACATACACGTACCCATGTTACAGCTGTTTCAAGGTCAAACCTGCTGCCAAGTTCCTTGACAAGACTCTACAGTTCATAGGGGAAGAGCCAGATCGTTTCTGGCGGCGCCGGTGTCGCCATTGTTGCACGATTGCGGCTGGTGAGCCCGAGATTTTGGATGAGTGGTACAGGCGTCATCTCTGCTCCGACTGCGGGTTGATGAAAGCCAAGGGGGAAGCTTGCCTCGGTTGCTTGAAGACCTCCGGTGCTCGCGAAAGCATGCACGCAATCACCAAGATGAGTCGGAGTTCGAATGACAAACGGTAGATAATGGTTATATCAGAGACTAAAAAGTTCGATTGTCAGAGAGAACGAAGCTCTCGAGTAATTCACGTGACTCAATCCGTATCTACTTTATTTAACACAGTCCCCGAGAAAACACATCTCGTCTGGCCCAGACGTGAGATGATGCAACATTCAATGCCAAATCAACCTCAACCTAATATCGTTCCATCTACTATCGTCCCGCCTATGATTGAGGCAGATTCGGTGAGTGCATTGGGCTCCCGTAACTCTCATGCCGGTGCCCATGTCCGTGTTGGTGACTAGGAGCCGGCGAGTCCCGGCCCTGCTGATGTTGTTGTTGGTCATATGGAGAAGGCGATCCCATCTCGCTCCTCGCCACAGCTGCTGATGCATCCAATTCAGAGTATCGATGAATGTTGCTTGAATGATACTCTGAGCCTGGCGACATGGTTGGGGGCGGTGATGTGCTGTACGGAGGCTTATACCCTGTTGGTGGCGAGGTTGCAGCATACGAACTCGTTGCGCCGGTGTATTGCGGTTCCATCGGTTGGCTCGGAGCTTCCGCCTTTTCGGCCAATTCCTTCTTTAGTTTCTTGTTTTGGTTCCAGAGCCAAAAGGTTGATACCAGACCGGCCAAGAGGCAAACACCGGCGACGACAGCGAGACCAATAGTGGCGCCTTTGAACGCGGACCCATCATCTGTAGTTCCATCGGTGTTGGTCGTGTTCGCTGTGCATACCGCCTCCTGAGTAGCGATTGTAAACGCTTCACTGGTACCGCAGCACGTGGTGTTTGATTGTCCACAGCAATACTTGGCTGTGCCGTCGTTACATGCGGTCATGAAGCTGATGTTGCTCGGGTTCCCGCCGGTCTGAGACACAAGGTTCACTGTCATTCTTTGTTTCTCATGGAATTAAACAATGCCAGTAGTTCGGGACGTACCTGGATATCAGTGCAGACATGGTTGCAAGCCTTGCTCTTCCACGTCTTGTCGGTGCAGAAGCCGCGTTGCGGCTGTTGCTGACGATTGATACAGAGACCGGAAGAGGAGCAGATATCGCGTTGTTCTGGAGGACCATCAAGAGCACAGCAGCTCGAGAAGACTCCAGCCTGGTTGATACCGAGTTTGTTGCACGGAACGTACGTTTCGTTATCCGCGAGGGTGCCGTCCGGTGCGTAACACGACGCTTCTTGTGACAAGACACCGAGAGAGTAAAGTGAGAGGCTCAAGACCACTCCTAGCATTGAAGCTAACATTGTGAAAACGTTAGTGGGCGGAACTTGAGTCGCTCAATATCGAGTCGCAAACGGCATTGGTCGGGTGTTGTGGAATGAGAAGAAAGTCGGAAGAAGCAGAACCGAAACCCCCAGGAGAAGGGAAAAGAAAAGGCTCCCGCAGATTGAGGGGGACTTCTCAGCTCTATGAAGACAGGCCCTACCCGCGTGTAACATAACAGATGGATTTTCTGTGCAACCTTTCCCTCCTCATCTCAAGCCTCCCCGGTGTCTGACTGGCAGAATCCAGGACAAAGGGAGGGGGGCGCAGTCTCACGCGCATACGATATGCCCTGTACTGTGATGTTCAACACCAACATGCAGACAACGCAGCCCCCAAGCTATCTGAAATAGGCAGGCCAACCGAGAATATTCAGCAATCGAACCCCTTCCAGTCTTCGCCAGTCAGACGAACTGTTGGAAGCAGAATGCAGGATCCCGGTCGAATTGGATGCCTGGCCCACTCACCGTGCAGAGCTGACCGGCCAGAGACCACACCAACAGACGGACGAAATGCAAAACTTTTACGATGCAGCGGTCGGCTGTGGCCGAGGAGGGGGCAAGCAGCTTACTATGTGGTGCGGGAGAGGGCGGGATGACACGCTCTTCTTGCATTCTCGGGTCGACCCATCTCCGGGCAACCAACGATGCTCGGTCGGGAAATCGCCCGCTCAAGTTTTTGGTACTCGAAGTGCCTTCATGGAGTGAATCAACAGTCGAAATTGTCGACTATCGGCCATGGCTTTGTTCGGCGAGGATGTGCAGTCGCAGATTCAAGCAAACAAAAGGATCCCAATCCCAGTGTCGAATCATGAGGCGATGCGACCGAGATTGCTCTAGTGCTGATTGTTGAAGGGATCAGGCTCGCCCCAAAGCCACAGGGCTTGGCAGGCCACACGAGTTACTCTACCATGCATGGCAAAGTTTGCCCAGATTGTACAGCTTGTCTGTCAGCTTACACATCTGACAGGAGATCAACCCTCCTACAGGACGTTAGCCCTCCTACTTCTCCCACCTGGAGCCAAATAAAACCCACCTACCAGAGCTTGGGAGATCTCATACAAATAGCACTTTGATCGTTCTAAGTCACAAAAAGCTGGACAGGGAAAGTTGAAAACGCTGAGCTGGGGGTCTAAGTAATTGTCGTAGACTCTGACCAAGGCAATGTCGGCTTTGATAAATTCTCACTGAAGTGTTTGCAGGCCGGAACTGTCTGCCAGTTCTTGCCAGGCGCTCAGACTGTTCATTACTTTGGATCGAGATCTAGGAATTGATTAGGATACCTGGCAATGGTATGGTAGCGTGTGGTCTTTGTGCTTGAAAAGACTGGTCTCTTGCCTCCTTATACGAGCGGAGATATGTTGTAAACAGTTCAAGACTTTTCGATCATATCATACCTCTGGCTCACAAGTCCGGGAGAAGCTGACTAGGTAAATTCGAACATAACATTGACACACAAAGAAAGGAGACTAGAAGCAGATGTACACGTACTCTAGTATGCTTGCCAGGCCCAGATGGCTCTAGAGCTGCAACAAAGGCTCAGACCATTTGAGAATGACAGAAACACTCACACGCAGAAGTAAGGCCTGAATTGTCATATCTAAAACCTATTGAAGTATGTGTACCAGCATCTCCTGTCCGCGCACCTCTTCCAGGAGACTTCAGAAGCGAGTTCCCAAGGCAAACTCGCGTTGTTAGACCAGCTTGGTGATGCTCATCAAGGTAAACAACAATTACTTCGAAATTTGGGGAGTTTCCAAGGTGCCTTTTGAATGGAAGTAGGGTCACAAAATGAGCCCAACTAAGACGGACCTTTCTATGTCTCTAATGCCCGGCTCAGCGCTCCAGAGTCAAGAGTAGTAATTCATCGCAGCAGTTAAAACGTCTCAATGTCATGCTTGCGATTCTGCTACCTACGTTGAGCTTAAGCATGTAATCTGTCTTACCTTACTTCATGTCAACACTACCATCTTAAGAAAAATATGTGCAAACTTCTGACGAGAACATCAGATTCAAGCTCAACAAATGGTAGATAGTAACAGAGAGATCGATTAGTTCCATTCTCACAAGTCAACAAGTCGAGTTTCCAAGAAGATCGAACATAGATAACGATACTAGACATTAGGTACTCAGAGGCATCAGGTACCTACCAATCGACGTGGTGCCTGCGCTGGTCCACAGGTCGATAGTTAAATGATGGAGCACCGGGTGTATGCATCCGCTCGGCCCCTCCCCCGCATTTTGAGCTTGAATACCGTCCTAGCCCCGGCATAGCCGTGAACCGATCGGCTATGTGATGACGACACTCTTCATAAGTACATGTAGGCGGTCTCATATCTACATGTCTGTATAGCTGGGATTTGGGGCTAGTTTATGGCAATAACATCTTACCCGGCTACAAACAAATTCGACGTAAATCGCATGTTTCTTCTCAACACGCACCAGAACATAAAATGGCACAAAATCACAACGTGAGTTTCTATACGAGTAGTTTCTGTTTCTCCTTGCCACACAAGATTAAAATTAAATAGTATCACTGCTTCCCAGGCGCAGAAGATGCGACAGAGAGATTTTGCGACTTCATAGTCCGGACTCAGTTCGAGGATATCCCAGACCAGGCCCTCGCAAAACTCTTCGATCTCGTCATTGATCATATCGGAGTGGGGGCCGGCGGAGGTGCCCATTCGGAGTCGAGTGAGCACATCATCAAGGGCGTCGAGGCTTTCGCCATGGGCTCGATTGGAAAGAGTAAAGTCTACGGCAAAGAAAAGACTTATCCCATCCAAATCGCAGCTTTGCTGAACGGAGCGTTTGCGCATTCTTTCGACTACGATGATACGCTCGCTATTGGTATCATTCACACTGGCGCCAGTGTCATCCCCGCTGCCTTAGCGCAGGCCGAGGTATCAGATGCCCCTGGAACCTTACTGCTCACGGCGTTGTCCGTTGGGTACGAGGTCGCTTCTCGTCTCGGTCGTGCTTTGTCAAATGGTGGATACCCTCGAGGCTTCCACAACACCAGCACGGCTGGTATCTTCGGAGCGGTTGCTGCCATCAGCAAGATCAAGGGCCTGACGTCTGCACAAGTTTACAATGCGTTCGGCCTAGCGGGCTCCAAGACCGCTGGTTCGATGCAGTTTCTCGACAATGGATCTTGGAACAAGCGATTACATCCTGGCTTCGCCGCCCACGATGCCTTCCTCTGTGTTGCTCTCGCGGAGGCTGGTGTGACTGGAGCCTCTCACATCGTTGAGGGCAAATGGGGCTTCTTGCAAGCTCATTCTGCAAACATCAACGCCGTTGGATTGACCGAAAGCCTTGGGATGGAATGGATATACCCAGCGACAGCACTGAAGCCTTTCCCCGCATGTCGGTTTACTCATACCGCCATCGAAATCACAGCAAGACTTGCCGCAAAGTCCGACTCACAGAAGCTGCCGGACAGAATAGTCCTAGGGTTGACTCGAGCTGGATATGGCATCGTTGGTGAGCCCAGTCCTAACAAGAAGCACCCCAAAACCATCGTCGATGCTCAGTTCAGCATTTACTACCAAGTCGCTGTTGCGTGGCTTTTCGGTAGCGACATCGGCTGGGGTGCATACGATACCGACAAGATGGAGAGCAAGCAAGTTGCACAGCTGTGCGATAGGATTGAGGTCCAGATCGACCACACACTCGGGAAAGAATTCGAGGTGCGGATGGCATTTTCAGGCATAGGTGGCGTAGGCGATATCGAAGAAGCGATGGTGTATCCCCTGGGAGAGGATGAGCATCCCTTTTCGCACGAGCGAGTTGAGAAGAAATTCAGAGGCTTGACCGCGTCTATCTATGATAGCGATCGTGCGGGAAGGATACTACAAGCTGTGCAGGGGCTTCCAGAGGGACAGGCAAAGGACTTGATCGATTTATTGTGAGTGATTCGTTGTGACGTGGGATTACCATCGAGCGGACTTGGCTTTTTTTTCTCTCCTCGGATGATCGTACACGAAACCAGCCGATGGCGGAACAGATTGAAACTTCTCAGATAGCCCATGAGGTGCTGCTTCCTATTTCAGCGACTTGGTGTGCTGGAGTTGGGAAATGCCTCCAATTCAGTTCAGGCCGAGAGCACGGAAGCCCTCTTCCGAGCTGAAGGGGGAATCTCTCCGAAATCACGGAAGCAATCGAGACCAATACCAAGCCGACCGAGGAATGGCCTGCTTCCCGGGATGTCCGGGTGAAGTTGCTGTTTGCGGTTCTTTCTGGTGGTCTAGAACCGGAAATAAACTCACGCAGGCGGCATGCCCGCTGGAGAGGGTTGCGCTTCGGTCTGCTCAATGTTGCCAAGGGTCCATAGGCACAGGCGAAAGGGCTGAACAAACCTGACTGCAAATGGGCGCAAGAGTCTTGCAGGAGGTGAAAACGCGGATGCAGGATGTAACTGTCTGCGGTTAAAGTGAGTAAATGGTCGTAAATACTGAGGTTAAGCCCGGGTCCGACTGGCAGCCTGAAAATGTAGATTAGAGTATCTCATTTGGTTTTCATCTGGCCCCTTCACGCTGGGTACTGGTGCAGAGCACCAACATTTGAGTCAATCACAGCTTCAGATATTTGTGAGAGGTAGTTGTAGAGCTCATTATGAGGCCTGCATGAGTGATCTTGCACTACCGCGCCCTCAAATAGAAGGATACTCCGACGAACTCTGGGTGGGTGAGTTGAAAGGAGTTGAGGAGTTCAAACAGTCGCTAAGCTGTCATGCAGAGATCGGTCGGGGCATTGAGTCGAAAGACTCCACTCCGGTGAACTTGAATCCTCAAAGTTCACACAGTAAGGCAACATGGCTAGGGTATTGCTCTCGAGTCAGACGACTCGTACGCCTTATGTCTTGGGTAGACTGGTCTGTGAATCTCCTTCATATATCGGACTCTGGAGGTCGTGTTCATGATACTCGTGGCCATGCCAAGCTGTAATCCGGGATTCGATGAGACAGAACCATGGGCAAGCCCCTTGTCCAGGCCCGAGCGTACATACGTGGTGGTATGAGAGCACTTTTTACTCCGTAGAGCTTTCCTCTCTCGAAGGGCCTTGGTGGGAAATCCACAGCCATGCATGCGAAGCTCGCCACGATGAATTGATTCATCTTTCGTGCCGCCAGTTCCATCGGCTGTCACCCTGCGGGAGAGCCCGATCCGTCCGTGCTCTGACTTTTCGGCCGGGCGGGAGTGCGGGGGATGATACTGTTCGCTGCTACTTCATCTCGCTTCCGGGTCTGACACTCAGGGGCACCCCTTCTTCTCCAATTGCTAGACAGCGGGTGAGCCGACGAGTGATGTCGCACTGCAACCCTTGAAGGATCGACTACCTTGGAACCATAAAACTGTCGTGGTAGCGTTTGGTCTACCGGCTGAACTCCTTTTTTCGGGTGATGTGCGGAGGGCAAGGGGCGGGAAGGCCACTTGACCAGTTCTTTTATAGCCATGCATCGCCTTTCAGACGCAACCAAGGTCCCTGTTCGGGGATCTCTTCGATCTTTGGGACCATTTTATACCACCTTGCCCCTTGGCAGCTGGGGCGGCATAGAAGAGTTCTGCATGCGGTGGTTCTCGACACCACGTCGTGATTGAGCACATCTCGTGGTTATGGACGATACCCCTTGGGACGAACTCCCACACGACGACTATGGCCCAGGGTTGCTCGCCACAGTATGGACTCTTATTGGTATTGCTGGTGCATTTATAGGCCTACGGATATACTGCAAGTTCTCGCGTGGAAGAGGACTGTGGTTAGACGACCATGTGCTGGTTGCATCGTGGGTAAGACTACCTCGATTGCGACTGATGACGAAGTTGCCAGTACCTAACGACGCCTTGATTAGTGCGCTCTGCTAGCTCTGGGATCGTTCATCTCTATCGACGTGTCATACGACTTTGGCAAGCATAACTGGGATATCACACCGGGAAATTGGTCATGGCTATTACTCTACGCCAACCTTTCTGGGTCGTTTTCAATCATCGCAGCAGCTTGGAGCAAGACGTCTTTCGCGCTGACCCTGCTTCGAATCACACGAGAATCATCCGAACGATGGATGAAGTTGCTTGTATGGTTCATCATCATCTCAATCAACACTTTCCTCGGCGTCAACGTGCTCTTCACCTGGATACAATGTTGGCCTGTTGAGAAGACTTGGAGGACAGCCTCAACACCTGGCACCTGCTGGCCGAAGAGCATCATGATGAACTACAACGTCTTCACGGCATCGTACTCTGGAGGGATGGATATCGTACTGGCCATCTTGCCTTGGAAGATTATATGGGGACTTACTATGACCAAAAAAGAGAAATTTGGTGTTTTAATTGCTATGAGCATGGGCGTATTGTGAGTTGTGCTTCAACGATCCGCTTGGAAGTTGGGATCCACGTGGCTGACGAATACTTCTACCAGCGCCGGTGCTGTATCTTTTATCAAGATCCGAACGATTGCTGCGATAGGAGCTTTCGACATTATCGATACTGTCGAGTTGGTGATCTGGGGTGCAGCAGAAAGTGTTGTCACCATCATCGCTGCAACCATACCAATACTGCGAGCATTGGTACGGGACCACAAAGCACCACCGGCTCGATTCGCTAGTGACGAAGAGTCCATGATGCGCCGTCTAGGAGCAGCCTCGATTGCAACAGCTACCGTAGCGAGCCCAGGTTTGAGGAGGTCAAGATCTGATCTGGAGTTAGCGGAGTGGAAGGACCCATTGACCGAGACTCGGGCGGGTCAACATAACCAGGTCCCGAGGCCGTGGAAAGTAGGTGATGTGAGGTTTGACCCAAGGAGAGGGAATGCAACGATACCACCTGGCGTTTTCAAACGAGGACACGATGAGACGGAGTACAGTGGTTCTATGGAGTTATCCAGAAGACTAAAGTAGTTCCAAGCATTCTAAGTACAAAAGTTCTTGTTGTTCTCTTTGCACAGCAATTGTCCAAAGTTTCTTCCAATAATTACGCAGACAATGTTGCAATTGCCAATCCTTCTCTAGAAGGCTTGAAAGAGTAGCTTGAGTATACAGCGTTTCAGTGGAAGATTCCTCGGTCCCAACTCGTCAGAAGAACACGTTCAACCCCGTATCTAGTACTCGAGAGTGATCGTCATGGTGGATTAGCATAAAAATAATTGCTTCCAAAGTTCCCCTAGGGTGTCATGGCCGCCAGGCAGCAGAATTACAGATGAGCGCTAAAATCCTCCTGCACGTTATTAGGGGACTTGGGTAAGCTGGACTTTGGGAATCCAAAACTGTCATTTAAACGTGCGATGTGCCCTCTTGCAGCAACGTGACGCAGCAAGGCAAGCTTTCTCTCTATAATATTGGGTGCGACTTCAAGGTCAAGGTAGCATTTGTACGTACGAAAGGCAGTCTTTGTTCCGAATGCACAGCCGCTACCCCTCAATAACGCCACCTCAACATCTGACACTCAGACTCGCCGAAAATGAAGTTACCATTTTACACGACAGCAATTCTCTTCTCCAGTGGTTCATACGCCGCAACCATGAGGCGAGCGCTCCCAGATTTCACCACTTCGGAAGCCGGCAACCCTTTCGTGGACGGGTGGTACGCCGATCCCGACACATGCGTCTACAAGGGCCAGTATTGGGTATTCCCGACCTCATCCTACGCCTATGACGAGCAGACCTATCTAGATGCTTTCTCTTCGACCGACTTAGTGCACTGGACCAAACATGCGGACATCATTACCAAAGCCCAGGTATCTTGGGCAAACAGAGCCATGTGGGCGCCCGCCCATATTGAACGCGACGGAAAATACTACCTGTACTTTGCAGCCAATGATATCCAAGAGGGAGAAAAGCAGGTTGGCGGTATTGGTGTTGCCGTAGCAGACCAGCCCGAGGGCCCTTACAAAGATGCGATCGGGAAGCCGCTCATTGGCGAGTACTATAATGGGGCACAACCCATCGATCAAGATGTCTTCATCGACGATGATGGTCAGGCGTATATCTACTATGGTGGCCACGCGCATGCCAATGTTGCCAAGCTGAACAGCGATATGATCAGCATCGGCACCTTCTCAGACGGGAGCCAGTTCAAAGAAATCACACCCGAGAACTATGTGGAGGGTTCCCTGATGTTCAAGCGCAATGGGAAGTACTACCTCATGTGGTCTGAAGGGGGATGGACGGGCCCGGATTACTCAGTCTCATACGCCATTTCGGATTCACCCATTGGCCCTTTTAACCGGGAAGCCAAGATTCTCCAGCAGGATACCGCTGTAGCAACTGGTTCTGGCCATAACGGGGTCATCAAAGTCCCCGGAACGGACATCTGGTACATCTTCTATCACCGCAGGCCATTAGGCGATAGTGATGGCAACCATCGTCATCTTGCCTATGATAGGATGTACTTCAATGAGGATGGGACAATCAAGCCAGTCACGATGCTGGTCAAGGACAACTTTGAGGACGGGAACCTGATTGGCTGGAACACCTCTTTTGAAGGGTCCTTCTCAGTCAAGGACGGGAAGCTTAAGGCGGAAAAGGCCACAAGTGGAAAGGCCCTTCAGAACACAGGATTCGAGGATTTGGTGTTTGACATCGACATCGCCCTCGTTGATCCAGATGTTGGGTCAAACGCTCAAGATTCCGGTGATGCGGGAGTTCTTTTCGGCGTTACGAGTGCTTCAGCAGGAATCGACAGCTTGACTGGGTTCTACGCTGCAATTGACGCATCAGGCGAGGTCGTTCTAGGTCAAATGGACCAGAGTTGGACTCAACTAGCATCTGCCCAGACGCCGATCCAGACTGGAACAGACTACCATTTAAGGGTGACTGTCATTAACAAGGAGGTCAAAGTTTTTGTTGATGATATGAGCGCCCCTAAGCTGACACACGTCGTTTCGAAGAGTACAAAGGGTACCACGGGAGTGCGAGTGTTCCGAACCGGGGCTCTCTATGATAACCTTTCTGTTGCACACCCGCAGTAAATGGGACAGTAATCGAGTACGTTGGAATGAACCGTCATAAGAATGAACCCGCATGTGGACTCGGATATTTACGCTGGGCCATCAACGGATTATTAGTATTCTGTGGATGATGATTCAAATCGAACGATGAAACTGCAACCACTTACTAAAGTTATCTACTTTAGTTCTTGATGTAATATTTCTTTTAGGGTGTATCCCATCGACTGCTGCAAGGCGACAGTACATCCGAGTGCGGGGGAAGAACTAATCAGGCGTTATTCCGATTTATTTCTACTATATCCGCAAGTTAAAAAATTCATATCTCGGAGAATTTGGAGAAAAGCTGGAGACCATTATACTGTCGCCTTGTAGCAGTCGATGGGATACAAGCGACGCTCTTGACATATTGCCACATCAGACCGCCTACCGGAACTTCAATCAATCCTGTACCATGTGGCATCGTAGTTAGCTGGAAGCCATACCGATAAGCTCCATGTCAATCAACTATCATTGATTACTATGATAGTCCGACTGATTGAGAAGCGGGGTTTAGCAAAACAAGCTTCCCCGCTCAGAACTCCGTGTGTCCGAGGCATGCCGAGGCACGGGAGATCAAGTCGAGATTCGAGAGACGGAGCACGGAGCGCCCGAATCCGCTCCACCTGGCACGCTGTCAAGGGCCACCATTCGCACCGGAATCCACGGAGTGGAAACCTAAAAGACTGCGACAGAAGGGAGAATTGGTAAGCCGTGTCTCCGCCCCAATGGAAATGCGTAGTTGTGTCTTACGTCAGTGAGGGGATGACGGGCGGAGGTATTTATCCCTTTCGGGTCCCAGCGGTCTAGACTTGAGTCACAACGATTAATTCAATTCAAAATACCTATCAACAGAACTAGCTCGAATCACTCACCCGCCAACAACTCAAACGCATTATTCTTCCAGGCAACTGAACCAAAAACAAGGAACTCGACAAAATGCCTGCCACTGTCTCTGTCCTTTACCCCAACGAGGCCGATGCCAAGTACAACATCGATTACTACGTCGAGAGCCACATGCCCATGGCCGCTGCCACATGGAAGTCCGCCGGCGTCAAGTCCTGGAAGGTTACCAAGTACTCGGCGTCCCCCGACGGAAAGCAGCCCAAGTACGCCTTCGCCGGCATTCTCACCTTCGGCAGCGTTGAGAGCATTCACAAGGCGCTCGCTTCACCCGACACGGCCAAGGTCATGCAGGACGTCCCCAACTACAGCAACAAGGAGCCTGTTTTCTTGATCGGCGAGGACGCGAAGGAGGCTACTCTTTGAGTGGCTGTTTAGGGCATGAAATCTTCGAACGGAAGGAGCGGCTTCATCCAACAGCCATGGACGGAGGAATGAAGTGAAAACTACCTCAGTTCGGACTGGAGCTCTATTGAAATAGTAGCAGTAATGAAAAAATCCTTATGACATATGAAACAGATGTTCACAAAGGACCAAAAGAGAGAGTCATTGATTTGTCTCAAATCAAGTGAACAGAGTCAAGATTCATTCACTATGAAAATGAAAGTGCTAAGGTCTTGACTTGCATGATAATATTCAGCTTACATTGAGTGCAGGTCTGAAGTAGAAGACAGTGTCGTGCTGTTGGAAGGGAGTCGTCCGAAGACCAATCGAACCAATTGCAATTGCGGGATGCGAGCATGGGCTTGATCACAGACCGGCACCCCCGTCAACACTCCAAGCGGCCCCATTGACAAAAGTGCTCTTGTCGCTGAGCATGAAAACGGTCACATCGGCTACTTCTTGGGCCTTCCCTACGAGTGTTGGGGCAGGAAAGTCCTTAGGAACTCTAGCCAAATTGGCTTGGTGCATCGGCGTGTCAATAGCACCACTGCCGCTTCATCAGCATCATTCAACCAAATGGAAGAGTGCGAATGACTTACGGTAACACACAATTGACTCTGGCTCTGTCGCCGACTTCTTTAGCCGCACTGCGAACCATACCCAGGGACGCATGCTTGGAAGCGGCAAATACCGCACCCTTCAGGAAGCCTTGGAGTGAGAACATGCTTCCAACATGAACAAAACTCCCGCCGTGAGATAGGAAGTCGGGCATAAGAGCTTCAGCGAGTACATGAAATGCTCCCTTGATATTGAGATTGGTGATGAAGTCGAATTCGGCGTCGCTGGTTTCCCAGACCGACTGGGTGCCCAATTCATGGCCACCACAACCGGCAAAGTTGGCGACACCATCGACCTTGCCAAAATGCGACTTTGTTTGTCTTAGGAAGCTGCGGATTGATGCACGGTTTGTGACATCTGAGGCTCTAGAGAAGACTCTCTCTTGTTGCTCTGAGCCAAGTCCCTTGACTGCATTTTCAAGAGCCGCGCTGTTGACGTCAGACATTCCAACCTTGGCACCTTCATCAAGTAGAGTCTTTGCGGTAGCTAAGCCCATTCCAGATGCAGCGCCAATCACAATGATGACTTTCTCGCTGAATGTGAGAGACATTTCGGTAATGTTGACTATCGGGTTCAAGATATGGCTTCAATGGGCCTAGAGGTGAGGAAAGCAAAGAGTAGCAAAAGAACACAACAGTGAGGAACAAGTGAGCATGGGATGAGGTGAACGCGATGGTAGACGAGACCTTCTATAAATAATCGAGACCTTCTCTGTGTCACGTCATTGCTTTGATACTTCTCACTAGATCTCACGATCTCTACTGCCAAACTCGAGAATATGAACAGCTCCACTGTCAGCCACCGTTCGCCCCCAATGCACGCTAATGCAGCCCGCTGACAACCGAAACTTACGTACCGGGATATTGGTTCAACATGTCCCATAACGAAAACGATGTTGCTGGGCGATTCCGAATATACATTTAAGATAGATATATGTTGTTCTAATTTCTTTTGCAAAACATGGCTCCAGTCTTGCACGTCTCGTAGCCACTCGAAGGGGTCGTAGTGTAACACAGTTAATTGAATGATTAAGTAGTGCCATAGCGATGACTCATGCCCTTTCTCTAGCTGTTCAGGACCCCTGAACAAATGGATACTTGCCAATAGCTGTATGCAAGCATGTTCATTTACTTGAGTGAACCGATGTTCTCATAACCATGTCTCGAAGAAGCGAACCGCTTGGAGAAAAGCATCTTCTTTCGCAGCCTTTTGCACAGGATTGTTGAGATCAGGATGTGTAGCAAAGCCGTGAGGTGTTCCGCCATAAAGTGCCATCGTGAACGGTTGACCAGTGGTTCCCATGGCGGTTTCAATCTCCACCCTTCTCTTTGTCAACATACCAGTATCCCCCTCTGCGCGGCGTAAAAGTTAGTCTCGTAAGACGCACCGAACTCATGAGGGAGGGAGATGTATAATTCCTGGAATAGAGCTTACCGGCCACGGCCAGACTTGCAGGTCCTTTAATAGCCTTGATTTCGTCGTCGCCAAGTGCGCTTGGATGTGCAGCAAACCCAACCTGCACTCCCTTGTTGTCGGGAAGCCCGAGTGCTCGGAAGACATATCGCCCACCGAAACAATACCCGGTCGATGCAATATGACGGACGCCCATTTGCTCTCGCATGTAGGTGATGGCTTTCTCGACTTTGGGGTCTGTGACGCTAGGTCCATGTGACTTGAAAAACTCGCTCGCGTTGAACCCTGACATAGACCCTTCGGTTCTTGGCTTGCCGTCCATCAAGTCTGGGGCAACAGTGATGTAGCCAGCGCGGGCAAAGCTGTCGGCGAGACTTTGAGAGGGTCAGTCATCACTAGAAAGTATAAAGCTAGGCTGAAGAAGAATCATGCATCCTCGGTCTACTCACAGCATGTTCTCCGTCGACTGGATCCCAAAAACGTCAGGCAGCATGAGAACTCCAAATTGTCGCATCGGATCTGGCCCTTTTTCGCTCTTATTGCGCGGCATCGAGACGTAGAGGTCAACTGTTTTTGTCAATATACGATACTTAAGCACGATGTTCAGTCATAGAATAGTCACTTACGGCCATTAAAAGGCACAACTTTCCCAACCGGGGTGCCGGCAAATGCCAAGATGGACAAGTCAGCGACGTATGAGCTCCTACTTTCCGCCAGGCACATCAACCCCAGGAATGCAGAGACAGCACAGAGGTATCGCATCGTGGCAAGCTATTTGAACCAAATAACTGCTCTAAGGGAGGCAAATATGTTGGAGTGTGTCTTGGGGAAGGTTGAGCATTTTAACGTGCCAAAACATGCGTACCATGGGATGTAGACTCTCCCTCGAGGCACCGTACCTGCATCGAGACTGCCTCATAAAGGAAGCTTAACTCCAAATTGGCTCGGGATCCGAAGAACATCATGCCGAGAGTGTTGAACTTGGAGGGTGTGGCAAGCTGCCGACACGCAGCAAACTTCCGCCAATCTAGTATCTAGCGCCAACTACGAGGTGCTCGCTCCCACCAATTTTTTGTTTTATCTGATCAAAAGACAAGACGACCGGAGATCAAGTAAGGTGAGCCAATCAGCTTCTCAGATGTCCATCTCGTACATGGCCGGTGCTGTGCTCTCTGGAGCGTTTCGGGGTCGTCTCAGTCAAAGCTTGATGAGATGAAACGAACATTTCCTCTATCGGCGGCGGAGAGAAACTATCGAAAGAACCATTTTGTCTTCCTCTTTTTAAACAAGCAATAGATTATATCAAGTGATAATAAGAGACTATTCTATGCTATTGTCTTTGATGCTTTCGATCTCAAAGAATTGCAAACTTCCGTCGCATGCCCCCTTCAACAACATCGATATTGATGTTCAAGTCAATTCGTGTCTGTTGGCCTACCTCGACAACTTCGAAGCTTGTAGGCCTTCCCGAAAGAATCGATTGGAAAATCTACGAGGTCTTGGTGGACAATTCTGCATTTCTCTCAATGTCCACCGCTGTTTGCCGCTTATCGGTCTTCGAAATGAAGAACGATTTGGCCCGACAATACAAGTGTGAGATGAGATTGAGCTTGCGGGCTCTTGACCCAAACCCTATGGCACCGCCCCTGATGCTTAACTACGAGGCTCTTCTAAACGAATTATCTAATGAGAGGGCGATCAAAATGACCTAGCATAAGCACCCGCGGCGCCATGGGGTAGGAATACGTGTAGGCTCAAGCGGTTGATCCATCCCCGCCCCCACATCCGCTGGGTTCTGACATAGGTTGTCCGCCAACGAGGGCCCAATGTGGGGTATTTACGAGTCTTGAACTCGAGCAGCGACTAATTTTGAACCATATTGAAAAAATATTACTTGAATCTATGTCTCCTGCCCGATGAATACACGTAGATCATAGCAGCATCACGAGCAATATTATTTACAACATGTCATCTTCCAATCCTGACGAAGGCCACGCTCTTAAACGTGGAACTGCACAATACGAAGAAGCACGGAATTTCTACTTCAATAGAGAAGAGACTGACAGATATCCGACTGAGATACATGTGGCAAAGACCTCTCAGGATGTCGTCGAAGCACTTCGCAGGGCCAGAGAGCTAAAGGTCTCAGTCGGCATTCGATCTGGAGGACACCTCCCTTCCAAACCCTCCTTAGTCCATAACGGAGTTCTTATCGACGTCAGCAACATCAATCACCACGTCAAATATGATGAAGTCACTGAGGAGGTCGAGGTGGGCCCCGGCATTCGCGTTTATGAAGCCTGGAAGGCTACAGACGCCGTCGGCAGATTCTTTCCTTTTGGGCATGCGCCTGACGTAGCACTAGGAGGTTTCTGTCTAGCAGGCGGCCAAGGCCTCTTCATGAGAGCATGGGGAGCTACTATTACAGAATGGATTGTTCGACTGGAGATTGTTGTTCCGGATGGTAGAGTATTGATAGCAAGCCGGACGGAAAACGCAGACCTCTTCTGGGCTGCTCGAGGCGGCGGGCAAGCGTTCTTTGGAGTTGTGACCCGAATCTGGAGTCGGACTATACCAAAGAAACGACTATTCTGGCGATCTACAACATTCACTGTTGGCGATAAGTTCGAAAACTTAATCACATTTGCTTTCGAACGAAATGACGCTATGCCAAGAAAGTTTACCGAGTCGGCCATCTGCGTACTTCACCCGGAGTTGTTTGACAGTGAAGCGGCGGAAGTTGTTCCCGAATCATCACCTTTAGTGATGGCTATCAATGTTTGCGCTTACGCCGATACTTTGGCCGAGGCTGCTGCAATGTTAGAAGTCTGGGACGTAGTCCCTGAGAACATCAAAGGCTGCCTTACTGAGGAAAAGGTCACGGTAGAAGCGAGCTGGGAGGAGTTTTTCGAGCTTCAGCGACAGATCAATCCCGAATCACCGGGCCAGAAATGGGGAATCAACAGTATCCTCAACTGTCCTTCGGTGTCCCTTCCAAAGGTACGGAAAACCACCCTAAATTTCAAATGACAAATGCGCTCCGATTCTAATTCACTGCTAATTTGCGGTTTAGTTGATTGAGACCATCAAGCCCGCTATGTGCGAGTTGCCAACGAAGTCATCTTTTGGCTGTATATATATCTGCGACACTATCAAACCAGATGAGAGAGATGCTGTCTTCAGTATTCCTCAGCAGTACTATATATCAACATTCAGTGGCTGGAAGGACCCTGCCCTTGTGCCCCGAGTACGAGAAACCATGCGGGCCTCGTACAAAAAGGCTGAAGCAGTTGCCTGTGGGATCTACAGTGCCGATTTTGACCAATCCAAGAACTCCTTGCATTCACCTGAGGTATATGTTCTCTCCTTACTGAACCTAGCCGACAACACTGTTGACATCAAGGTGATTCCAGATCAAAGTATGGACGGATTCAGCTCGTGCTCGCTTCATGGAGATCCGAAGGCGGTGGGATCCTGATAGTCTGTTTACGGGATACAAGGGTTTCGATATCGACGCACAGGCGAAACCAGCTCTCTGAATATTCAGCTTTACATTTATCGGAATAGAATTCTGCAGTATGAAGATAAGTGAGACTAGATATTTATGTTCAAGAGGATTGAGAGTGTGTCATATCGCTCTCTGCTGAGGAAATGTCTTCCCCGTGAGCCAGATGCTATCATAGGTCCAAGTACCTAGGACACGGCTGGGATTTATCTACCGACATGGACGCCTTTTACCACGCGGTAAAGCCGAAACGGCGGTGAGCAAACCGAAAGTCGAGAGGTAAGGGCTTGGAACATGGAACTATTGAGCAAACAAAGAGTGTGGCGGTAATAACCAATGTTTCACAAACAACCAGCTTAAGAAAATTAAAGCAACAAGCAATCAAGTAAGTGGATGATAATCCATGCAAATTCTTTCTTCGCCATGCAACAACATTGGCCATCCTGTGCTGCACCTCGCCATCCCAACGAGAGTGTTGAAATGAGGGCCTCAAATTGAGGAACAAGTACCCTGGTGGCTATGTTTACATGCAAAATGTCACGCAAGACAATGCGGGGGAGCTTTGACGTGGAGGCAGCTTGATGCATTATTATATGAAGACAGGTCGCATCCGTTCTGGTCGCATGATGGCTTGGGGTAACTACCAAGGAAATTTCGCGGCAAGACATACTCTCATCGAAACAACATGAAGGGCATCAAAACTCTTCCATTCTCGGGTAGTGCTGTCGAATTGACCTTACTTGATGGCGGAGGTCTCACTACAACAGACGACACAAAGATCCACGCAGATGGGCATGACAGGCCATATTTCCTCTACAACTGGTGTTTTTACATCCATCATAGAGCGTCAGGCCGCAAGATCCTTTGGGATCTTGGTATTAGTGATGTAAGTCGAGAGAATTAGACTGATGTACAATACTCACGCTTTGACGTCCAACAGAACCGGCAAATGTATACTCCGTTCGTGTTGAATTACCACTGGACGAGCTGCAATCCAGTTGGACCACGTCAACGGCTTACAGAACAGTTGCAAGACATTGGTGTGAAAACTTCGGACATTGACACAGTGCTCTTCAGGTATTTCTATGGGCAAATCCAAGGACGTTTATTCGAATGCCAGGACAATTAACCGGCCAGCAGTCATGCACATTGGGACCACTGTCGTCCGATCAAAGACGAATTCCCCAACGCCAAGGTCATCTTTGGCCGCGGGACAGCTTTACACTGCTCTCCAGGGCATATCCAGAATGACGAAATCCAGCCGATGGTTCAATGGGACTCTCGGATTTTCGGCGATGACAAATTTCGGACGGAAAATTTTCAAGAGCTCGAAGGCTCGTGGCAGTCCTGGGGACCATTCGAATCAGCACTGGATTATTTCGGAGATGGCAGTCTTTGGATCATCGAAGCCCCTGGACATATGGCAGGAAATCTCGCAGCATGCGCCTATTTAGAATCAGGCGAACGCATTGTCATGGCAAGTGACTGCTGTCATTCAAGGTCAGTGCATATCCGTCAACTATCGTCATCCTGAGGGATTCCACGCCGTCCTTCAAAGAGCCTCTTGCAATGGACTCATCTTCCGACCGTCACTGAACAACAGGCTTACTTCCGAGCAGGGATATTTTTCTTGGTCGCCGAGAAATCGCCAACGTCAAAATGGACGACGGATCCCGATTCTGCTTGCATGAAGATCTAGACAAAGCACTTGATACGATTTCCAGACTCAGAAAAGCAGCCGAGGAGTATGGGATGCACATTGCGATGGCCCATGATGCCGAGTTCATCAAGGATGGCAGCGATGCTGTGTTGATGTCAATCTTACACCCCATGTTTGATGACACTGTCCTGAACAGAATCAAAGCACATGGAAGGCCATAGAGCGTCGGGAACCAATTCTTCCTGGGCAGATAAGTAGTAGCTAAGAAACGATCCCTCACATCATGCTATTTGAGTAGTCGCTTGTGAAGTTGTGAGCTTTGGCCCCTGCCACTTCCCCGCAGTCTTCCCCAGCCTTTGCCAATATCAACCTCACTTAGCGGCTTCTGGGGTGCAGAAGGCGCCGTAAAGCTTGCTGGGTTCGCCCTCCCATCACTGCCGAATGTTTGGTGCATGAGATGTGACGCTAGGATGGGGCCCATCGCTGCGGAAGAAGCTGACACAGCCCTGATTCATCAGCCATCAGCGAGTCGCACGCCGTGGATTTCAGACTTCCCAGGACACTAACGGGTCAATACGCATCAGGTGCGGAGAAGAATGTAGGGGATGTCCTGGTCCCCCCGCAAGTCAAGCCCGGCCTCTGTCGGCATCTCAGAATCCGATCTGCCCGCACTGTTCCTTGCCAACACCACATCATGGCAATTGAGGCTACCAATCCACTGCTTGAAGCTATTCGAATCGACGGAAGTAAACAATCGAGACGAGATCACCGCGTTCAGAGAAAGGGAGCATAGAATCAAAACGTCCATGTCTTCAGGGCCCGAAGGAAGTCCCTCCAGCGCCGCGCGAAGAGGTCGACCACGACGCCAGTACAAGTGCGCGCACTGCTCGAAAGCCTTCAAGCGCAGCGAGCACTGCATTCGTCACGAGAGAACCCATACGCACGAGAAGCCTTACGTGTGTCGATACTGTCACAAGTCATACGCGAGGAAGTACGTATTGGCAGAAGCTTTCCGATCTCGGAAAAGCCACAAGACTTTCTGCTAACTGAGAGCTTCTAGGGACCTTGTTACGAGACACGAGCGCACTCTGCATGCGAAGGAGCAAGCAAAAGAAAAGATTGGAGATGTGGTGACAGTAGCATGCGCGCCACTGGCGCAAGCAACAGTGTTCTCCCCGTCGAAAGGCGATGACTACATGAACGTAGACCAAGAGGAAGACGAAAGATCCGGCCAGGAATCTCCAGACTCGCAGTCGCCAGTCGATGGCGTCGCTTCTTCCACAACATCACCATGTTCCAGTCAACGGCGCCGAGCCAACTCACGACGGAAGTCATACTCTCGGCAAGCAGCCGATCCCGACATCGAACTTGAACGAATGTTGATGTCGTTTCAGCCATTAACTGACCAATCCTTCGAGACGCGCAGGGATCCAAGTACTCTTAACCGAGCCACCGAAAGTCGTCCCGCAGACATATTCCAGCATGATGCTCAACAGGAAGGAAACTTGCTGCAGCTTCAGTACTTCCACGACGTCGATCCAGTTGAAGAGTTGCCACCGCTAGACCCAGCGTTATTCATGAACATGGATCTTCCCTTTGAAAGTATTGCCATGGAGATGCCAAGTGAATATCCAGCAGAAAACGGGCTTGAGACTGGCGCTTTACGAGAACAACCCCCTCGTCAACCACAAAATCCACCGGAGAAGAGCGGTGCTGCTGATCCATCCACGGAAAACGACGAGCTATTTTCACCGAGAACACTGGCCCATCTCGGCATGGGCGCATTTGACCTCTCGCCCATACCAGGTGACACCGCGGAGCAGAGAGATGATCGAAGACGAATTCCACGCCATCCCAATACTGAAGACCCTTCAAGCGGAGCCCCCCCTGGATGGGCTAGCTGCCAAATACCCTCGGCTAGCAGCGATCTCCCTTCTCTACTCGAAGACGGGCGTCAACAATATCCGACCGTGACCTTTGACGAAGAGACGTGTGCGTATCTTCGCAAAGACATGTCTTCGCGGCTGAGAACAGCAGCTGGAGAGTTCCAACTGCCCACCGCCAAAACGTTGCAGGGCTTCCTGTCTGCTTACATGACGAGTTTTCATAGCCACTTTCCGATCATTCATATGCAAACTTTTGATTTGGCACACACTCCGGGCCCCTTGGTGCTTTCCATCTGTTCCATCGGCGCTCTCTATCGCCTAGACCGACGTCGAGCGCGTCATCTTTATGACTTGTCAATCCGCAGTGTGGAACAGGTGCCTCAACCAACCAAGGACGATTCCAAATCCATGGTAAAGGACTACTTCCTTTGGTTTGTGCAAGCGAAAATTCTTCTTAGCTTTTACGCAGTCATGAGCGGGGAGAAGGATCTCGTTGACGCAACGATGAAGGACAATGGCTTCTACACCTTGGTGAGTCAATCTGCACCTTCATGAGCGATAGAAGACTACTTCGAGACAATGATACTTACTACCGTCGTTCAAAATCTCAAAGGTCTATAACAAAGCTCGAACTGCGGTAGAAAACACTGAAACAGAACCATCCGAGATGACGTGGCACACGTGGATAGAGCTAGAGTCGTGGAAGCGCGCGCTGGGGGGCATCTTCATAGAGAGTACCCTCACTATGGTGATCTACGACGTCAATCCTGGATTTCATGCGACCCAAGATCTGGATATCGAAGCGTATCAAGATGAAAAGATGTGGAACGCGAGGTCACCTGCAGAGTGGCGAGAGCTTCGGACAGCTGCCTCGAAAAGCTCGCCATACAGTCGACGACACACAATCAAAGATGTACTTGTTGACATTCTACTTGAAGGAAGGTATCATGCCGACACGGTACCGTACCGCGTGTCGACCTTTACTGCCCTCGTCTTGACCCATGCGGTCGTCGTTCACATGTGGCAGAGATTACAAGTCTGCCAGGCCCTCGCTTCAACATGTCCGATTGCAAGGAATGATATTGGTGATGAACAAGACCCTCTGAGAGCTTCGCTCCTCAACGGTGCTATGCAGTCGTTGGCTCGGTGCGATGCTTTTCTCCAAGGCGTCAGGAGCGAGTTACGACAACCACGTCCAGAAGAAGACGAGAAGGACAAAGAAATCTCGCTTGTATTCAACTGCCAGGCAGTCTTGCGCATAGCCTACACAAAGCTGTCGAAAATATCCACCACTCCCTGTCGAATCAGCTTGTTGAGCCTTGAGGATATGGACGTAGGGTCATGCGTGTCATCATTCATTATGGGCAGGATGGAACGAAGCTCCCACATTCTCAAGATGGTTTCGAAGGCCTTCGAAGGCATGGTTGTTCCAGTCAAGATGGGGCATCTTCTGGTCCGGAAGACTGCCGCTTTTCGATGGAGTGTTGAGCATGCTGTGGCAGGGTGGACGGGTGGTAAGTGAATTCGAGATAACCCTTACAGCTGATTGGGAGGATCCGTTCATGATGCTGATCTCCTTGCTGCAAACAGCTCTTCTAGTATCAAAATGGGCTCAGTCCATAGAACAGGACAAGATAGCCGGGATGCAGCCAATTCAGAGCGAGCTGGAGCTATTAGCCTTGATCAGAGAGACTCTAGATGAGGCCGAGTGCGATATCGGGGAGGGCACGACTCTTGCTGCCGGAATTGCCAGGACGTGGGGCTGGTTTCTGTCAGATGTAGGTGATAATATTTTTTTTTCATGTATCGTTGCAAACTGATATACTGATAACTTCCTAGGTCTGGGTGTGGGGCATTACGCCACGGATGGGAGGAATACTGAACCAACTGGCCGATGCGTATCAAGACGCGTATGATGCCAGCTGCCGTAAACCTACCGGCGTGACGTACAACGCGGAAAAGACGGCTGGAAGGTTACATCAAATCTCTTTGTTGCAAAACGTGTATTGCTAGTGGTCAACTACCTCAAGCGCTGTATTGATGACTTGGGAACCATACATTAAATTCATCTCACTCCCTCCACCAAGGGATCTAGATGCAGAGATTCCCCACATGCTGCGATGTACATTGTCATGACTCCAAGGGGTTTGAAGGGGAAAACAAATTCAGTCGTAGGTCAATCGCATTCTGCGAAATGAACTTCAAGCACGGTGGCATCAGGAAGTGTGGCGTCGGAGTTGACCATCCTCGTGTGGAGATTCGATGGGTCAAGGATGGGCAGGATATGACAGGCTAGTCGGATTGTGAAAGCGCGGATCGAAGGGAATACATTTGTATCTAGATGCGTTCTCAGAAGCTTCGATACAGATCAGTCGCGGAGGTCCTGAATCCCAGCTAAATCCTGAAGTTTGGCACGGAGACGCAGGATTGGGCCATACAGCTACCCCGCAAGTACCGGTCTATCGCCGCCTGAATTGTTGGCACCCACACGTCTTACCTATACTCTTCACCCACCGGCCTCATCTCGAAAATACGCAAGAAATTCAAATCAACATGTCCAGATCCGATGGAATGGCAGTTGCCCTTAAAGATCTGGAGTCGAAAGCACGGGGGGAGGTCCAAGTCTCCGCTCTCAGAGGCGGCGAGTTCACCCTCCCCAAGCGGTTCTTCGTCGCGGGGGTGTCTGAGGACGAGACCTCGCTTGTGCCATCACTCTCTTTCCTCATCTCGCAGAATTTATTCGAAGGGGGTCATCGACGCATTCTTTACGATCTGGGCTTGAGACGGGACATTGGTCGCTATTCTACGCCGATACAAAACCACACAAAGAATCGTCAGCCGATGACCTTATTACCGGACGTCCGACAGAGCCTGATCGATGGAGGTCTTGATGTGGCAGCTATAGACGAAGTTATACTCAGCCACGTCCACTGGGACCATATTGGAACTCCTTCCGACTTTCCCAATGCTCGCTTTCGAGTTGGTCAAGGATCGCTTGAATTGCTTAGCCAGGGGATGAATGGGCATATGTCTCATTCCAATTTCCAGTCTGATCTTTTCGACGGCCTCAGGGTTGAAGAGATCACGGGCCCCAGGGAACACGTAGACGCAGCAGGATTCACAAATGGTTGGAAGAATTTGGAGGGATTGAGAATACTGGATATTGGGGGAAGCGACGATGGTTCCTTGTTTGCTGTCGATTTGCCAGGCCACTTGCCTGGACATCTTGGACTTCTTGCAAGAGTAGGACCTCAATCCTGGGTGATGCTTATCGGCGATGCTTGTCACGACGCTCGGTTGTTGACAGGCGAGATGCAGATAGCTGAGTGGGAAGACGGTGAGGGTCGAGCTTGTTGTATCCACATGAACAAAAGAGAGGCTACGGACACACTCAACAGCATTTCGACGTTGCGAGAAGCCTCAAAGCAAAGCAATCTCGTATTGCAGGTAGTTTTTGCTCATGACGCAGTCTGGGCACAAGATCACCAAGGAGCCTTTTTCCCTGGCAAGATAAACTGAGCTCCAAGACACAAACCGCATAGCAATTATTAAAGGATTCACCGCGTCAGTCAGATTTCTGAAGAATCAACTGTGTCTCCGACTCTCCAAATTTACGCTTGTTTCACGTGCCCTCTCGTTCTGTGAGATGTGCTCTGCGAATCTGCCCGCTGACGGTCTGACCATAGTAGCTACCTATTTCCTTACCCCGCCCCAACGATCTACCTACCTCAGACTCGCTTGATTACTTGAGCAAGCCTTCACACCTTGGACTGGATCCATATATCTTCTAGAGATATCAACAAGAAGAGAAATACCTACACTCATGCGCACCCAAGAACTTCTCCTTCCCCTCATTGCCCGCTCTTCTTTTTTGTCATGGATCAGCCACTAAGCCTAGGATTTATTGGCCTTGGGGCTATGGGTTTGCCCATGGCCTCCAATCTCGTCGCCAAGGTGGCGAAGGGTTCTCAGACATACGTCTACGATATCTCAGAGACCTCCATGAAGAGACTCATCGATCAGGCAACGAATGCGGATATCACAGGGTGCAAGTCTCCGAGAGAAGTTTCACAAAAGGCTGTAAGTTGACACCGGGTCAATCATATTTCACTACCTCCACCTCGTGTGACTAACATTGGAATATAGGACATAGTTTTCACAATGCTTCCAGAGGGCAGCCATGTGAAAACCGTCTACTTGGACCCAGACACCGGGATATTGGGTCCTGAGCTGAAGTCCCGCTTGCTCATCGATTGCTCAACTATCGACACGGAGACGTCCCAGCTGGTATCAAACACTATCAAATCCCACTTTCCATCCACATTCTTCTGCGATGCACCTGTATCTGGCGGCACCCTCGGTGCGGAAGCCGCTACATTGACTCTGATGACTGGTTGCTCCGAAAAAAATCCGAACTGGCCAGAAATTCGCGACTTACTGGGTCTCATGGGCAAGAATATCATTGCATGTGGCGGCCCAGGCTTGGGTCTTACGGCAAAGCTTTGCAACAACTACTGCTCGGCGCTCATTTCACTTGCAACATCCGAAGCCATGAACATCGGGATGAGAGCGGGCATCGATCCTCGACTCCTCGCGCGCGTGTTCTCCAACAGTACTGCACAAAGCACGATCTGCGACAAGTGGAATCCTGTGCCTGGCATCTGTCCAAATGCCCCAGCAAGTCACGGGTATCAAGGCGGCTTCAAGATTCAGTTGATGGCAAAAGACTTTGGCTTAGCTGTGTCTATGGCGGATAAGGTTGACGCAAAGTTGATTCTTGGTGCTGTTGGCCTCAGAGCCTACAAGGAGGCGAGTCAAGATTCCAAATGTCGCGATCTTGACTCTCGCGTGCTTTACAGATACATTGGAGGCAACGAGGACTGGCAAGTTGATTGAATCTGGGTAAACTCAGAGCAGCCTTCTAGAATATTCGTGTTGACTCGTTCCGAATTTTATGATCTATTTCCTGGCTTCCGATTGATGCAAACAACTCTCTACAACCAGACTTGCTCTGTCAGAGAAGGCCCTGTCCTCATTGGTCCAACTCAGTAGATGTTCCAATTTCATGGGGGCTCAACTGCCTCAACCGCCTCTCTAATTGAACATGCCCAGCAGACTCCCAGTGAAACCGTTGCACCTTCCTCCCTGCGAGCTACTTTGCTACAGCCAAAGCCCGAGTCAAGCAAGGACATTCCTAGTTCAGACCTACAATGCCGATTCCCCACTCCGGTTTACGAAGTGACGGCACGGAAGCAGGACCCCGCCACCATAATGCGGGGTGCATTCGGGTCTCCGTTCCGTGGTGATGTGGGGTTATGTGGAGAGAGTGTTCGCTCTGATATGGGGTAAGAATATGGAAGGGATCCGGAAAATCACAACCGTCATGTAAGCAGCCTCCCTGTGGCAATTTGGTAGTTGAAATGAGACCTGCATGTAAACCCAACTAAGGTAGCAGCAGTCGTACGTTACGTGCTAGCAAGCTGGTCCCAAATCTCACCAGCACGTTTCCAGATTCCGGACCATTCTCACAGCGTATCAACTCTCAAACAACCCACACGTCGGCCCATTAGCACTGAAAACACCAACATGGCCGACAAGCTTGCAGCAAACACTGCGAAAGAGGCGGAAGCCCACAAGACACTTTACGACAAAGGACTGAAGCTCCGATATGAGGTCGCAGGGACTTCTTACGTCGACGCAGCTCTGGCTGGTGGTTCGTCCGACTTTGCCAGGCCGATGCAAGAGCTCGTCACAGAAGCTTGCTGGGGTTCGGTCTGGGCTCGGCCAGGCTTGGAGAGAAAGCAGCGATCTCTCTTAAACATTGCCATGTTATGCGCTCTGAACAGAGCCCCTGAGCTTGCAGCTCATGTCCGTGGAGCACTGAACAACGGAGCGAGTGAAGTAGAGATTCGGGAGACACTGCTGCAAGCGGCTATTTACTGTGGAATGCCAGCTGGTATTGAGGGGTTCAAAGTTGCTGAAAAAGTCATCATTGCCTGGAACGAGGAACAGAAGCAGTAAGGATGTGGTCAAGTTGGTTGCGGTGTGTTATGCATCCACGGAGTCGGATAGTAAGACAGTTTTTGATACATGCAATAAATTTCAATAGGCGTGGCAAAGATTGATCATTTCTTTGGGTTTGCTCATGTATTATTCTGTGAGATTGGCCTATGATCGTGATGAATTGGTGACTGCCGACGTACGTTAGGCAGGACCGACGGAATGGTGATGGTAGGTAATGGCTGCGTGAGATCAACTCAAGTTCGTCTCAACATCACTCCGACTATTCGTTGGTTTCCTTCCTCGAAATTTCACTAGCTTAGGATGAGGTTTGTGTTCCCCAGTGACATGGATTCGAACACGAAGCAGCAGAGTTTCGAAGCTCCCCGCATCTACCAGGGACTTGTTGCAGCTCCCCAGACACTACTCCTACCCCCCACATTATGTAGGCCCATACGGAAAGGCGGTCTTGTGTGATTCAAAGCCTAGCTAAGTTCTTTTGAGACTGGCTAGTGCTATTCAAAGATTCCATAGATGAATTGTTCATCACTCGTCGATGATCCACATCCAATAAGTATCTATCAAGCCAAGTTTCACAGCTCAGATTCCCTTCCACAAGATGAAATTCGTAAACATTCATTTACCAAATATGCCTATTCTTCCAAAAGAAGGCTCAATTCATATCGGGGGTATTGGTCTGACAATCTTTCTGATTCTGCTTGGTTGTTATCTTCGCTATGTTCCAAATCAGTTGACAGTGAGTACATGTTTCTCCATCGAACTTAAACATGCTGATCAAGAGTCTTTTGACAGGATCCACGAAGGAAGAAATTACCACCCGGACCTCGAGGTCTCCCAATCATTGGAAATCTCTACGACCTCGCAGACTCAGAATTTGTGCGCCAAAAAGTCCGCGAATGGCATCGCACCTACGGCGATATCTTCTACACGAAAGTCGGGGCGACCGACTATATCTGGCTTTCATCACCAAGAGCTGTCAAAGATCTTATGGACAAGAAGTCGGCAATATACTCCTCACGGCCGCATCTCCCGCTAGCGCAGGATGTTGCAAGTGGAAAGTCCCGACAACTGTTCATGGCATACGGGCAAGACTGGAGGAACCTGAGAAAACACAGCCACGCACTTCTCAACTTGAATGCTTCAAAGAGATACATGCCATCGCAAGACCTAGAGTCAAAAGTGGTCCTTCATGATCTATTAGATCAGCCCGATGAGTTTTACACCATCAATCGGCGCTATTCTACCTCTGTTATCATGCTAGCTACCTATGGGTATCGCATTCCTTCCTTCCAAGACCCGATCATCTCCAAGATCTTCAGCGTTCTGGAAAATCTTTCCATCATGATGGCTCCTGGCGCCTTCGCCGTCGAGAGTTTACCCGGCCTGGCTAATCTTCCCGAGTTCCTTTTAGGAAACTGGCGCACCTGGGGCAAGAAAGCCTTCGCTCACGACAGCAAGATTTGGCTTGAGCTTTGGGAGGCTTTGAAGAAGACAACGGATGACGGCACTGCCAAGGACTGCTTCTGCAAGGACTTTTACCTCGGTGACCCCAAAAAGAACGGCATCGACGACTTGCTCGCGGCGTATACCTGCGGTGGTCTGGTAGAGGCGGGTTCCGAGACAACAGCTACAACTATCAACAACTGGACCCTGGCCATGACTCTTTTCCCCGAAGCAATGCGGAAGGGTCAAGAAGAGATCGATCGTGTCGTCGGAAGCGACCGGATGCCCACATGGGAAGATGAGAAAGATCTCCCTTACGTTCGGGCGATGATCAAAGAAACCTTGCGATGGCGCCCGGTCAACAAATTTGGGATGTATCACGCTTCCACCGAGGACGATTGGTACGAAGGACACTTCATCCCGAAGGACTCTGTGGTCGTCCTGAATTGGTGGTGAGTAATTACATGCAATCCACATGTTCCCGAGAAATTCGGCTAATACGTAGTGTCAAATTTTAGGGCTATCCAGCGTGATCCAAGTCGCTACGATAATGCCGATGAATACGATCCATCTCGGTTCCTCAACAGTCCACTCTCTGCAGCGGAGTACATGAACTCGCAGGATCCCTATGAGCGCGATCACTTTTCCTATGGTGCTGGCCGGTACGTAGTTTCATCCCGAACCTGATTGTCTTGGAATGACGGTACATGCACATGACTAACATGTAGACAGACGTGCATGTCCTGGAGTCCATCTAGCTGAGAAGTCACTCTTTATTGCTATTTCTCGCATCTTGTGGGCATTCAATATTGAGCGGAAAGAAGATCCCAACGGGGGAAAGAATGTCCCCATAACTAGAATGATGCCAGGTTTTCTGAGTGTCCCTGAGCCTTTCGAATGCTCCATTTCATGCCGCTCTGTCGCACATGAAGAAATTATTCGGAGGGAGTATAGCGCGTTGAGGGAAAAGAACTTCGAAGAAGGTCATTGATCAACTCATGGCCTTATTTGTACAAGAGTCTGGCGAACTGCTTAGATGTCAAGCCCGTTACGAATATGAATGTCTCCCTACTAGCAAAAAGCGTCTCGTTTTTGGAGTGGTTGCATTTTACATCGTATCCCTTTGTCAGTACATTGAGTGGGAATACGAATGTAACTCTTGAGAAATCACAACATTGAGGGACACATATTTTGCAGTTTTCTATTCGTACCTAGAGTAGACATAGATTCCGTTCCGCAAACATAAGATTGAAGGAATACTAACAATCACTAACAGCCATGTCCTTGCCATCACTTCGTAATCTAACTAGGGAATTAGTCTACGCTGCCCTTCTCTCATCTGCTTATCGAGGTCGGTTCCTAACCATAGAGGTTGAGTCTCGTCAAGCTTGTCCTCCAGGTCACTGATATTCCCGCCGTGAATGAAGAAAGACTTTCCATTTACTTCAGGTCGCATAGCAGGTAGCAGGCTTGCTGTGGCAACGTCCTTTGGCGTATTTGCAGGTAACTCCTTCCAAATACTTCTGATATGATCGGTGACCATCTCCGTATCTACAAGGTTCAGCTTCGTGTCAATGCGTTCGGGAACTGCTCGAGCAATCCTCAAGGGGTAAGGGCGTACTCACCTGTCATCCAAGGTGCGATCATATTGACAGTAATGTTCATCTTCGGTAATTGAGTCCGCATAGCGCGCATAAGACCCAAAACAGCCGCCTTGCTGGCACAGTAGGTGTAGCAGGGTGGTGTATCGAAGAAGCTAGCAGCGGACCCGAATAGAACCAGTTGAGATCTCGTTTCCGGGTTTTTGCGAAAGAAACCAATGGCACATTTGGTCACATACCAAGTGCCAGCCATGTTGACGTTGAGAACCGAAACATCTGGCTTTTGAAGATACCAGTCTGCCCCAGAGCCCGGCTCGTCGAGTGTCTCGATTTTGTTGATTGCTGCATTCGAAATGACGGTATCAATGGGACCAAGCTCTGAATGAACATCTTGAAAGAAGCTGACAAGGTCGTTCCAGTCCGAGATGTCACATTTTTTGAAGAAGACGCTGTCGACGCTTGAGCATGAGCCAAACATCGTGCCTTGCATGGGGAGCTTCATAAGAAGGCCATAGACAATAATGCGACTTACTTGCCGAGCTCTTTCTGAACTTGCTTTCCTCGAGTCTCGTCAACATCACAGAATGCTACTTTTGCCCCATGCCCTATCACGGAACGGTCAGCACAGCGCTAAAAGCTCATACTGTGTTGCTTACGATGGGCAAGGTCGACAATGGCTCTTCCAATGCCGGCTGCACCTCCAGTGACCAAGATGATTTTGCCCTCCAACTGCTGGAATTCCGAATCGCTAACAGTGTAGGCAGACATTTTTGCGTTGCGTTGCCGCGTTTGTTGTGGAAGTCTAGATTGATCAGGTCCTTGGGGGAACCACAGCGGCCGGGGCTGCCTCTGTTATCACGCAGCCACGGTACACCAACTGCCTGAACTTCAGCGTACTCCACATCGGTGCGGGCTGTCTCCAACTCGGGGTATAGCGGTCGAGCCCCAAACACAGCAAAAGAGCAACATGGATAAAGTAGGCACATTAGATCTCCGCATTCACATATCACTGGGTGTATTGGTACAGTATGTTTCATGCAAGGAAAAAGTGACCCTATTCAATTCAATGTCAAATACGATGGAGCGGGGGTGTCATCTGTCAAGTCCCCGGTAGCTGTCCAATGCTGCTGCTTGTGCTTTCGTGACTCGATTTCGTCGGAAATGGCTATGGCAAGATCCGCTGCCGAAATCCCCAGCAACTTCCCATCCAGAGGACTGTCCCCATCAGGGCCATCCTTCAGCGGCAAATTGCTTATAGTGATCTCGTATCTTCCTGTACGCCTGCCGGGACGATATAGTGCGCTCGGGGATATATACGTCCAGTCGAAGGATGTATTGCCTTCGAAAAACATGAGACTAGCTCGCGCAGCTTTGATGAAGCTGCTCGATGCGTCTTGTTGCGCTTTCAGTTGAGCTTCGTAGGCATTTATCGTTTCACGCGCTGCCTCTTTCTCATCGGTACTTCCTCTGTCCTCTTTGAGGAGAAGACGAGCGTCGCGGTATACTCTTAAGGCCTTTCCTATCGGTCCAAGCCTCTCTTCCATGTATGTGACATGGGCGTGACTATCCGCAATCCCACGGCGGTAGGCCAAGAAAAAGTCCTTGCTGTCCGCCACGCAAACGCCGTCTTCATGAGGCACATGCAAGCTGCCAGTTCCACCTACCATCACGAAGTATCCTGTTTTGGCGCGTTTGACGGCAAGGATGATTTTTCTGATCATCTCGATGAACGGCACTGCCATATTACCTGGTCAGACAAACCATTGCTGCGGGCCAATTTGAGCAGCATTGAACTCACTGTACTGCAAGGCTTCGTGACCTGCTGTATGAGGCCCGTATTCGCACACCACAACTGCAAGATCACTGATGGCCGCAGCCAATTCTCCTTCAGTGGAGGTTTCAAGATTGATAGGCCGCGGCTCGTAGAGCTCATGAGTACCCAGTTTCTGTGGGTTGCGAGATAGTCCGACAACACGATGCCCGCGGTTAATGAGTTCGACAACCAAGTAGGAGCCACCGAACCCGGCCGGTCCAATAACTCCAACTCTCAGCTTCTCGTCAGTCTTGACCATGGTGGTTCAGTTGGTGATCAGAGTGTATGTAGTTGCTGGATGTGCGTGCCAAACGGGGAAGAAGACGGCTTGGACCTCCGATGCTTCTGAGCATCTATAGCCGCTATCAATACGGGCTCTTCCCGCACGAACGATTTCATATCGCTGCCATTGTGTAGGTACAGTTGACTGATCACTGCTCGTTAGGCGGATGCGGGGTGATGTGGGGGAAAAGATGGTTGGGCTGATTTGGCCTGTGGCAACCAACTGTGAACTGCCTGTCAGAGGTGCGGTGCGGGGACCACTCTGAGGACTATTCAATTGCTGACATCTAGGATTGTATGCCCGAATCCTTATGCCCATGATCGTTCTCGTTTTTCTGAGCAATACGATCGGTTCTACGGATTTTAGATACACCAAATCTCTGCGATACCGGAATGATGGACTTCAACATTGGCTTCATAGGTAAGGGGCTCAGTCTTGGATATCGCGGAATGACCACTGACTCCCATAGGCCTCGGTGCCATCGGCTATCCCATGGCTGCATCGATTCGTCGAAATTTGAAGCGTCAATCTACCGTTCATGTTTTTGACGTCAACAAATCAGCCTGTGAGAAGTTTGTTCAGCAATATTCAAGCTTTGGACAGGTAGAAGTCGCTGCAAGTCCACGCGAAGTTGCTGCCGCAGTAGATGTGGTGATTTCCATGGTGCCTGGAGCACCAGAAGTATCGAAGGTCTATCTCGACGTTGGAGATGGCATCATTTCCGCTCCCAAAAACCCACAAAGACTGTTGATTGAGTGTAGTACTATTGATACTACCACCGCAAGGCACGTGGCAGATCAGATACGAAAGGCTTCTCAAGGGACATATGTTGATGCCCCTGTTTCCGTGAGTCTTCCTTCCCAACATGTGTGACTCCATAACGTACATTTGACCCATCAATGGCAACGACGCTTTCTGACTCCAACTTGCGCCAGGGAGGCGTACCAGCAGCGGAAAAGGCGGCTCTCTCATTCATGATCGGACGCAAACCTGATGATGAGGAAAATCACTTATCCCAAAAACTGCGTCAGGTAGTTTCAATGATGGGCGACCCTGGAAAGCTCTTCTGGTGCGGTGATGTTGGATCGGGACTTGCTGCTAAGATCAGCAACAACTATATCTCTTGCTCTGTTCTACTTCTGATATCTGAAGCTATGGCAATCGGAGTGAAGTCTGGAGTGGACCCGAAGATGCTTCAGACAATTATTCACAACTCTACCGGCCAAACATTCATGGGAGATAATGTTTGCCCAGTCCCAGGCGTCATCCCACATGCCCCTAGTAGTAATGATTGGAGGCTGGGATTCAAGACTCAGATGTTTCTCAAGGATCTGTCTCTGGGCATCGATGCTGCCAAACAGGAGAATATCCAGCCGACGATGGCAGAAGCGGCCTATGGAGTATTTGCAAAAGCCTCCAAGGATCCCCGCTGTATTGTAAGTAAAATGTGGCGTATTCCCTAGAAGTGAGCGAACTAACATTCTCTCCAGGATCGTGATGGCTCTTCGGTCTACCTTTACGTCACAGACTCAAAGACTTAACTTAGATTGTGGATAGAAATTAACAGAACAGGTGGAATTCAGGCCCATATCTAAATTACATCTAGTAAACCTACACATCATGCCTATGTTGTCTCTAGGGGATTGTACATTTGACAATCTGAGCTTGGGACTCAAAATTTCGCGATTGAAGAGCGATATCTGTGATGAGTTTTGCTATCCGGGCAGTACTGTTTGGCTATCCGGGCAGTAATCCACTTTTTGGACCAATCAGAGCCTGCCGTCTAAACTCTAAACTTTTTTGCCCCGCTACACCTACCCACGGGCCACCCAGC